CCTAGCAGTAAAATAGGTACCTGGGTGTTAGTCAGCTGTCACGGGCTGCTTCCTGGGGGTGGAGGCCTGGTCGTGGACCGGGCCGCGGGGACACTAATGCCCCGAAATCGTCTCAAGATAACCTCCATAAATGGCATGTTTTAGTGGGGTTGTTAGTAAGATATCGAACAAATCCACAAGGGCTGTAATGAGGGATCGAACCAACGTTCAGGATGACCCCAGACGCTGCCTTAGTCGACTAGGCCACGACATAGTCAAAAGATGTCGTGGGGGGGAACTTACGCCCGGATCCTCCCGGACGTAAGTTCGAAACCTCAACACGGCCCTTGTGGATTTGTTCATTTGATGCATCTATTGTGATTTCTGTGTGTACAAGATCATCTGGATTGCGTAACGGGATTGCGTATCTGTGGCGTTGAGTTCCTTCAGCGTTGTTAGACGTGCGTATGATTCTGTAACTGGGTTATCTTGAGGTTATCTTGAGATGATTTCGGGGCTTTAGTGTCCCCGCGGCCCGGTCGTTAGTGTAAGGAATTGTCCACTTATGGCGTCCGGCGCTGGTGTGTCCGTATTGGACGTAATGTTACCTTATTTTACGCCTTATTTTACGCCTTATTTGTTGTGGGAGTCAGTGCGTATAGTGACTGGGATTACTGCTACGTGGTGCCTTAATTAGTCCCTACAGGTGTACACGCTCACAGGTGTATTCACCTAGTTGTGTTCACCTAGTTGTGTTTGCGGGGGTTGAGCTCTGGCTCTTTAGTCCCGCCTCTCAACTGTCAATCAACTGGTGTGTGTGTGTAAGCTTTATTCAGTGTCTGTAATAGGGACATACACAATGCTGAATGCAGCATATGTACGACTTCATAAATTTCACAATATTTTGTATTCTCAGAGTACAATAATAGTTTGTCGGCTTGATGTTATATATTCATTTTTGTGTCAAATGAATAACCTGTCTTTACCATAAATCACAGAGAGAGAGAGAGAGAGAGAGACAGAGACATACAGAGACAGACAGACAGACAGAGAGAGACAGAGACAGAGACAGAGAAAGAGGAGAGAAAGAGAGAGAGAGAGAGAGAGAGAGAGAGAGAGAGAGAGAGAGAGAGAGAGAGAGAGAGAGAGAGAGAGAGAGAGAGAGAGAGAGAGAGAGAGAGAGAGAGGAGAGAGAGAAAGAGAAGTCCGCAAGTCCTACACCCCTTTGGCCATAGAAAATGGAATAACGGTATCTCACAAATCCATTATCCACCCATTACTGCTCCAATTACTGTACATGGGGGGTGAAAATGGGGGTGATACTCCCCCCCCATCCCATCTAAATCCCATACCCCCCCCCCCAACGGCCTCCCCCTCCCCCCCCCAAAGCCCCCTACCATACCTACCCTACACCACCGGTTCCAGGCCATCAGTGAAGGGAACATTGATCTTACCACGAAGAGAAATTGGTGAAATTAAAACTGGTTACCGCTTGTGTATACTAGCCTTGAGGTGCTTCCTGGCGTGTGCGTGGCAGCGTTGCGGACTCCAGCTCCCAAGCCCCGACTTCTGGGGTATCTTATGGCAGTTGGATGGGATTGAACTGGCGGCTCTGATCTCTCTCCCGGAAAGAAATAGGATTATGGCTTTCCAAACTCTTAAGTAGCTCTAACAGATCTTTTTTTGATACTTTTAAAGGTCATCGTGATACAGAGGATATTGCGTGCTTTTTTAGGGAATCGAAGGACGCAGGTTAAATCCCATTGCATTATCTTAATTCTTTCTTATAGATGAGTGACGTTATTGTGTTCTCATTGTGCTTATTTGTCTATTTTGTTAGTTACCCCTTAGTATTTTTCATATCGTTGTCATTTCCTCACTGTGCCTGAACTGTGATCTGGTTCAATTCCCTCGATCTTTCACTGTAGCTATATGGCCTCTCAGGTTAGTAACGAGTCTATGCATAACTTTGCACCTTATCAAAGTGATGGTTCCATTTCGAGGCTGCATACTAAAGAGTTTGTCTCACATAGGTTGCATGTGTGTGTTCCCTACAACAGTTATTTTATAATACTCTCGCAATAATTCTCTCTTGTTGTGCTTCCTCGAAGTCTCACAAGTATGTGAGGTCTCTTAACCTAATTGTTATTCTGTTCACAACTTCCCAAGTCTAAGATTCACCCTTCGTCTTCTCTGTGATTCATTCTCATCTCTCTCTCTCTCTCTCTCTCTCTCTCTCTGTCTCTCTCTGTCTCTCTCTGTCTCTGTCTCTGTCTGTCTCTGTCTCTGTCTCTGTCTCTGTCTCTGTCTCTCTCTGTCTCTGTCTCTGTCTCTCTGTCTCTGTCTCTCTCTCTGTCTCTGTCTCTGTCTCTGTCTCTGTCTCTGTCTCTCTCTCTCTCTCTCTCTCTCTGTCTCTCTGTCTCTGTCTCTCTCTGTCTCTGTCTCTGTCTCTGTCTCTCTCTCTCTCTCTCTCTCTCTCTCTCTCTCTCTCTCTCTCTCTCTCTCTCTCTCTCTCTCTCTCTCTCTCTCTGTCTCTCTGTCTCTGTCTCTCTGTCTCTCTGTCTCTCTGTCTCTCTGTCTCTGTCTCTCTCTCTCTCTCTCTCTCTCTCTCTCTCTCTCTCTCTCTCTCTCTCTCTCTCTCTCTCTCTGTCTCTGTCTCTCTGTCTCTCTGTCTCTCTCTCTCTCTCTCTTCCTTCTTGTTACTCTCTTCTCTTCTACTCACATATTCATCTCTGGTGTTTATATTTCCACATTTGATATCTAACCTCCTTACATGTGCCTCTTCATTTGAATCAGTTCCTCTCTTCTCTCTCCCTCTCTTCTCTCTTCTCTCTCTTCTATCCACTTAACCCCTTCATCAACCCCTACTCTATCCTTGTGGAGAATACAGCAAATGGGATTTATTTATAGATTAGCAACGATACATCCAATAATGGTTCTTCAGCTTAAACCTGCACCCTTTGAGGTCAATTTATAAACTTAAGAAATATATACGAAAAATATAAGAAATATTGAGAAGATTCGTGTTAGAATCTTTGGAGAATTTGAAAAAAATTGGGGGAGCCGGTCGGCCGAGCGGACAGCACACTGGCTTGTGATCCTGTGGTCCCGGGTTCGATCCCGGGCGCCGGCGAGAAACAATGGGCAGAGTTTCTTTCACCCTATGCCCCTGTTACCTAGCAGTAAAATGGGTACCTGGGTGTTAGTCAGCTGTCACGGGCTGCTTCCTGGGGGTGGAGGCCTGGTCGAGGACCGGGCCGCGGGGACACTAAAGCCCCGAAATCATGTCAAGATAGAATAATTAATCTTACTTTCTCGGTGATATTCAACGATATAAGTAAATATATTTCTGTTCTCCACTTTATGGAATGAACATAAATTCACTTGAACATGTTCATAAAAGATAAATAACGCTATTCCTAGCAATTACATCCCTTCCATTAACTAGTGATTAAGGAAGCATAATTTACATTAAAGATTGTATATATATATAATATATAAATAGGATTGGAATATATATAAATTGATGGGTATAAAAAGTATATTTATATGATAAATATATCAAGACAAAATAGAGCGCTAAACATATATAAATATATATGTTTTAAGTTTAAATATAAATTGGATATGTTTAGATTTAGGAAAGACCTGGGTAAATACTGGTTAGGAAATAAGGTTTGTTGGTTTATGGAAGAAATTACAGTGTGATATAATAGACGTGGGGATATATAGATGGATGGTTTCAAGCGTAGTTTAGACATGTATATGAAAGAAATTTTCCTTTTTAAGGCTACTTATAGAGCTAAAGAGCCTCACAGGCTTGGGACCGGCGGTTCGAGTCTGCTAGTACCCACGTGAATGGAGTTGGTTGGTCCAATAGGCCTCTAAAGGGTTCTTTTTATTCTTGCTTCCCTTTTTTCCATTCTTTGTCCCTTTTCACTCTCTATTTGCCTTTACGCTTCCTTTCTCCTGTTTTCCTTTCCCCTCATTCTGTATCCTCCAGTTCTTTCTCTATTCTGCTTTCTCGCATCTTTATTATTTTCTTATCTTATCAATTCACCTTTTCTCTTGTTCTTCTTCTACTTTCTGCCATATCTTCTTTTCCTCACTCCCTACTTTCTTTTCCTTTCTTTTCCTTCCATCTTACTTTTCTTCCCCTTCCCATTCTCTTTTCTTTCTCACTTAATTTTCACCCTCTCTCCTACCCTCCCCTTCTCTTCTTGCAGCCTTTCCTGCCGTTTCTCCTATCCCAGAGCCACGTTCCTATCCCAGACCCTCCCTCCTATCCCAGAGCCTCGTTCCTATCCCAGACCCGCCCTCCTATCCCTCCCCAATCATTTCTGCCTCTTTTACCCTTCTGGGATATGAGATAGACTAAGTGATGGGATATGAGGCCTACTTTACCTTGAGGTTACCTTGAGGTGTTTCCGGGGCTTAGCGTCCCCGCGGCCCGGTCCTCGACCAGGCCTCCTCGTTGCTGTTGGACTGGTCAACCAGGCTGTTGGACGCGGCTGCTCGCAACCTGACGTATGAATCACAGCCTGATTGACATATTAATTTATATTTGAGAAAATTTATATTTTGAATGGATAGCAGGTTGAAATTGACGAATGCGTCTTTGGGGTCGACCGCTGGATGGAATGGACTCGATCTGAGGGCAATAGGAACACTTTAGCTCTCCTGGCTAAGCTTCCTAGCTTCCTCTCAAAGCTAAAATGTCCACATTTTTAGCTTAGTGAGTGACGGGGCCCCTAGTACACATCAGTTTGAGCTGAAGTAAGCTATAAACGGCCCAATTTACACACACTTAACTCCAGCATAAATACTCACACACTTAAAAAAAAAACACACTTAACTCCGGCACTGTCTTGAGTCAGTCGACGGAAGATTAGGACGCAAATCTTTCAACATCCGTCTCCTCGAACCGCGACCTTGTGTTTAACTTGTCTTGGTCTTCTCTGTCATTGTCGCCTCTATGGGCTTATCCACTAGTACAAAACGTGAACTGTGTTGGATCCAAGATCCAAGAGGATCCAAGATCCAAGAGGGTCCAAGATCCAAGACGATCCAAGATACAAGAGGATCCAAGATCCAAGAGGATCCAAGATCCAAGAGGATCCAAGATCCAAGAGGGTCCAAGATCCAAGACGATCCAAGATACAAGAGGATCCAAGATCCAAGAGGATCCAAGATCCAAGAGGATCCAAGATACAAGAGGATCCAAGATCCAAGAGGATCCAAGATCCAAGACGATCCAAGATCCAAGACGATCCAAGATACAAGAGGATCCAAGATACAAGAGGATCCAAGATCCAAGACGATCCAAGATACAAGAGGATCCAAGATCCAAGACGATCCAAGATCCAAGACGATCCAAGATACAAGAGGATCCAAGATCCAAGACGATCCAAGATACAAGAGGATCCAAGATCCAAGACGATCCAAGATACAAGAGGATCCAAGATCCAAGACGATCCAAGATACAAGAGGATCCAAGATCCAAGAGGATCCAAGATCCAAGAGGGTCCAAGATCCAAGAGGATCCAAGAGGATCCAAAATCCAAGAGGGTCCAAGATCCAAGACGATCCAAGATACAAGAGGATCCAAGATCCAAGACGATCCAAGATACAAGAGGATCCAAGATCCAAGACGATCCAAGATACAAGAGGATCCAAGAGTAATTTATGTACGTTTGGAAGGAATGATGTGTACACAGGAGTCACAATAACGAGACTGAAATATGTTGACCAGACCACACACTAGAGTTTTTTTTTTTTTTTCTACCACAGACGTGGCCACACATTTACAGTGCTAACCAGCATATATACATTTTCTTCTGTCCTCCATGGACATGGTTAGAGAAGTGTTAAACATATAGTTGAAGGGTTTATTGAACACTCAACCACAGAAGGTGATTCGGTGCTTTTAAAATGCTAAGCTAACCTACATACGTAAATACATAGATACACAGATTTACGTATGCCCTACATAAAGTGTTAGATGTGTCTTTTACATAGTGTCATTAATGTGCATTCACAAAGGTGAAATGTAATTCTGATCAGCTTCCATATAGGGTGAAAGGACGACGACGACGTTTCGGTCCGTCCTGGACCATTCTCAAGTCGACTTTGATCAGCTTCCATATAGGGTGAAAGGACGACGACGACGTTTCGGTCCGTCCTGGACCATTCTGAAGTCGACTTTGATCAGCTTCCATATAGGGTGAAAGGACGACGACGACGTTTCGGTCCGTCCTGGACCATTCTCAAGTCGACTTGAGAATGGTCCAGGACGGACCGAAACGTCGTCGTCGTCCTCTCTTCACCTTCTAGTGTGTGGTCTGGTCAATATGGGATCATGCGTACATAGGGGTGGATCTCCGCTCCTATCCACGCGTTTTCCCAATGGGATGAACTGTCTCTGAAGCTTCGAAACGCTACTAAATCTGACAGCCAGACACAGTAGTGATTCAGTGGGTTGATCTACTGGGAACAATTTGTTCCAAACTATTAAGCTTTGCTTCATAGTGGACTTAATTCCATCTTGCTGTCGTAGGATAAACTGAACGAATGAAGCTGGATAACTTCCCCTATCCTCCTCCGTCTGACAAATAACCCTCGACTGGGATACAGGTACAAACCAGGTAAGGTTAGGTTTTACCCTAACCTAACACTGTGAGTGGCATAAGGTGGTATCTTACACACACACACACACACACACACACACACACACACACATGTCCTGTTGATTGACGGTTGAGAGGCGGGACCAAAGAGCCAGAGCTCAACCCCCGCAAACACAACTAGGTGAGTACAACTAGGTGAGTACACACACACACAACCATTTGTCCACTTCAAGAAAACTGTCTTGAATTGGCCTCTGTGGAGTGCCGTAATGATGGCCAATTCCCGTATTAACTCCCTCAAGCAACTCCATTATATCTAACACCGGTTATCAACAGTAAGATAGCACATGTCCCCCCCAATGGCTGGCTATCTTGCCAACCATTTAACCAGTGTTATAACAAGGGTTATTAATACTATCATTACAGCTACTATGCAGGTGTGGACACGTAAACAGGTGTGTGGAACCATTCACAGGTGTGGAATGATCCTCAGATGTGTAAATATACATATGTGAGGAAATACATATGTGGAATCATACAATATCTCATTGTTGGAGGCAGGAAGCTTGTTAGACTTTTATCAAGGTCTAGCTATTGACCTTCCCCTCCAGGATGCAATCCACAACAGTCGACTGAATCCCGGGTACCTGTTTACTGCTAGGTGAACAGATGCATCAGGGGTAAGGCAACGGGAGCCCCCAAACGAACACTGTTTTGCCAAAGGGGATTGGAACCTGGAGGATCATTCGGTTGTGTTCCGATTATAGACGACCTCTTAAGTCATTCAGAGCTCGTAAACTGTTAAGTAAATGCCAACGATGCCGCCATGATGAAAGTAAGACATGCAGATCTCGTAAGACGACGCGTAAGAGACGCAGATCTCGTAAGAGAACATATTTTCGGTATAAAAGTTCGTAATTTGAAAATGAAAATAAGTGCAGAGTCAGAATTCGGCTCAAAAATCACGCTCAGGAGTCAAATTTCCGACATTTCAGATATTTTGAAAACTGCAGGGGGGTTTGGGCAAAATATGACCCATCGCCGTTTTCAGTAATTGGCATATTTTCGGTATAAAAAGTCGTAATTTGAAAATGAAAATAGGTGCAGAGAGTCAGAATTCAGCTCAAAAATCACGTTCAGGAGTCGAATTTCCGACATTTCAGATAGATACGTTACAGACGTAACGGGGGGGATGGGGGGGGGGGGGAGCGATGTCCGAAGGCACCACAGTAAATAAGGAACCTCTTCTTTTTTAGCGTTAGTGAAACGACTCGCTGATTGGCAGGTAAGTTTCGTCGTGTGGGTCTCGCTTTAAGGGTGGGAGACGGGCGATCTGCCTCGTTACCTTCAGGGAAAACAAGAGGACGTCCCGGATTTACGACTCAAGAAAAGCAGAGGAAGTAAGCAGGACCCACCAGGAACCCCAGACCAGAAAAACTGGAGTGCTGAACGACTTCATTTCCGCGCTTGATGAAGATGGCGGGAAGAAACAGAAAAGGAGAAGATGGCGGGAAGAAACAGAAAACGGAGAACGAATGGCGGGAAGAAACAGAAAACGGAGAACGAACGCGTCTCGAAGTCATGTTTGAAGACAAATTTATTATTTATCTATGTTCCTTTAGCTTCTTAGCGTAACCTCATACGGAACCTGTACATCTTGTACCAGGGGCCTGACAGCTGAGTGGACAGCGCTCGGGATTCGTAGTCCTAAGTTTCGGGGTTCGATTCCCAGTGGAAGCGGAAATAAATGGGCAGAGTTTCTTTCACACTGATGCCCTTGCTCACCTATCAGTAAATAGGTACCTGGGAGTTAGACAGCTGCTACGGGCTGCTTCCTGGGGGTGGTGGCCTGGTCGACGACCGGGCCGCGGGGACGCTAAGCCCCGTAATCATCTCAAGATAACTTCAAGTTAACCTCAAGATAACCTCAAGATAAGGTCCTCGGTCAACACAACCCGTTGGTTTGGACGGTAGAGCGACGGTCTCGCTTCATGCAGGTCGGCGTTCAATCCCCGACCGTCCACAAGTGTTTGAACACCATTCCTTTCCCTCCGTCCCATCCCAAATCCTTATCCTGACCCCTTCCAAGTGCTATATAGTCGTAATGGCTTGGCGCTTTCCCCCTGATAATTCCTTCCTTCGGTCAAAGTGGTCAACCACAATCCCAGTCGTCCTGTCTGTGTCAGCGGAAACCAGTTATTAATGACCGGCCGAGGTAATTGGACTAGTTATACAGCGTGTTAATCACTTAATTGCACAGTCGCTTGAATCTGTCAAGATAGCAATTGCTGACCACTCGATCAACATGCTAATCATCCCGGCAGACAACCTGTTTCAATAACCGCGAATGAGTTCGCTTGTTACATAATTTTAGAACGACAAATCTAGATAGTTTTAGAACGACAAATCTAGATAACTTTAGAGTTAAATCTAGTTAATTTTAGAACGACAAATTTAGATAATTTTAGAACGACAAATGTAGATAATTTAAGAATAAAAATCTAGATAATTTTAGAACGACAAATCTAGATAATCCAAAAACGACAAATCTAGATAATTTTAGAACGACAAATGTAGATAACTTTAGAACGACAAATTTAGATAATTTAAGAACGACAAATGTAGATAATTTTAGAACGACAAATCTAGATAATTTTAGAACGACAAATCTAGATAATTTTAGAACGACAAATGTAGATAATTTTAGAACGATAAATCAAGATAATTTTAGAACGACAAATCTAGATAATTTTAGAACGACAAATCTAGATAATTTTAGAACGACAAATCTAGATAATTTTAGAACGACAAATGTAGATAATCCAAAAACGACAAATGTAGATAATTTTAGAACGACAAATCTAGATAATTTTAGAACGACAAATCTAGATAATTTTAGAACGACAAATCTAGATAATCCAAAAACGACAAATCTAGATAATTTTAGAACGACAAATGTAGATAACTTTAGAACGACAAATCTAGATAACTTTAGAACGACAAATCTAGATAATTTTAGAACGACAAATCTAGATAATTTTAGAACGATAAATCAAGATAATTTAAGAACGACACGTTATCTAGACCTAACCGCTAGTTCAGCATCGTTATCTTACATTGTAAGACCTTTAATAGAATAAGAGTGAAACTTTAAACTTACACGTAATCAGTGAATCAGTTAAACCAATTCACAGATTAGTTAAGACTTAGCTAGAGGTGGCGACCACCCGTCTGTGGGAAAAAGACTTAAGTCGAGACTTAAGTGTAAAGACTTAAGTCGTTCCGCCTTAAAGTCTTAAAGTAAAGTCTAAAAACATACAAAAAGTTTTAAGAGTTGTGTGTAAGTTCTATAAAACCACAAGTTGTGAAAGTGAACTTTTTTCACTAGTTAATTTTCTTGAAAATTTTAGGAGTTAATATTTGAAGGTTTGTTGATATTATTTTTTTTTTTTTTTTTTTTAGCATTTTGTTGCACTTTTTTGCTATGTATAACTTTTCACAAAGCAGCCATGTATGTATGTATGAGTGTGTGTATGCGTGTATGTATGCGTGTATGTATCCTATAATCGCTGAGACGTTACATGTGACGCTCGGAAGCCTATATTTTGGAAGCCTATCATCTTCACCCTGATGCTCCTGTTCACCTAGCAGTATAAATATATATATACTAGATGCTGGGTAATTAGTGTATTTTTTGGTAAAAGTTTTTTTTTGTAGAAATATGTTATTGAATATGACAAAAATGATGTGATGAAATATTCATGCATGAGTCATATCCATATTTCTTACGTCCTTCTTTACTTGAAAATGAAGTTGAAAAATTAAGTCTCCAAAGTTCATTTTTCGATTGTATACGCCCTAGGACACTCAGAGATGCGTTTCGTTGAACGTGTCAACATGTTCAGAGACGGAGGTGAAGCTTAAACAAGTCAGCTTATGAAAATGATGATGTTTTCGGTTAGGTGCATCAGGCAGAAAGCTTTGTGTGGTTCTATATGTTTTATATGTTCTTATCTCACACACACATACACACACACCCACACACACACACC